GCCTGCAGGAGCCTGACATTGCACCCACGATCCACAGATCGAATGTGCAATGCTCTGCAAACTCCTGTGGGGAAAAAAAAAAAAAAAATGCATTTTCACCTGCAAAATTATGTGCAGGTATTATATTTTTCAGAAAGCTAAACGTAGCTTTAAAGTTGCACCCCCATATGGGGGTGTCCACATGCCGCATCTCTTTGGCAGATAATATCCCCCATTGCATTTAGTGGGCAGTAATGTGCCTTAAGACTAGATTCACACAACATGCCTTGGGACTACATTGGGTATGTTAAGCAGCAATTCTAGTGCAGTTGCACTGCATGGACAAGGCAAAATGCCTAGTCTCTTATGCGCCTGGTTCATACCACTGCAATGTGGAGGTGTGCATGCATGATGTGCTAAAAAAAAAAGCACCTTGCACCACATGGCCAGTAATTGCCTGTGTGACATCTCAGTAAAGTTTCTTTAACCACTTTCCATCCGGCGACACCACCCTTCCTATCCAGCGATGTACCGTTATGTCTCGGTCATTGCTTCAGTAATGACAGACATATCAGTGTCCCCAGCTGGCGATTTTGAAGCTGACAAAAGTAATTTGAGCAGCTAAGAGCCACTGGATTACCTTTACAGGCAGTGGAAGGGAGTCCCACCCGCTCCAGCAGCCTTTAAGGATGAGACCAGCAGCATCCGGCTCTGGGCACACAGTGAGAGGAACTGATGTTGTTCCTCTCACTGTGTGACATCAGAAACTGGAAGTGATGAGAATTTAGTCACATCTGGTTTCAGCTATTTGTTTAGCTAGCTGTTACTGGCCAGGAAAGCAGCCGATAAGGCTCCATGCACACTGGACATTTTAATAACGCTGGTAATGTTAGCTGTGTAAAGTCACGTTAAAAACATGAGTTTTTCAGTTTTTTTTGTATTAGTGTTTTTTCGTATTTTTGTTTTTTAGAGGTTTTTTTTACCCAAAATAATAATTGCCACGATTTACCGTGTTTTTCAATGTTAGAGCATTTATACAGCTAAAAAACTCCTCTAGAAACCCACTACTTCTGGGTTTTTTTTCCAGCCAAAAAACGTTGATGCATGGACACATAGGATAAGATGCTGAGGAGTTTACTGACTGTAAAAAAAAAAAAAAAAAGTCAAAAACCGCAGCTGTAAAAACGTCCAGTGTGCATGAGGACTAATCTGTGTGTAATCGGTTGCATTGGAAGCTAGGAGAGGTCTGCGGTCTAACAGACCATAAAGAGGACCTGTCACGGCCCATGCTGATGCTCATCCTTTATGACAGCAATAAGTTCATTAAAAATAAAGACAGTATAAAAACATTTTTAAAAATAATAAATTTTTAAAGCGCCCCCATCCACCCGCACACAAATGCAAACGCATGCACCGGTTCCACACGCATATGTAAACACTGACTGCACTACACGTGAGGTATTGCTGTAAACGTCAGAGTGAGAGCAATAATTCTAGCTCCAGACCACCTATGTCACCTTAAACTGGTAACTCGTAAAGGCTTTAAAAGTGTCGCCTATAGGGACTTTTCGGTACCGTAGATTGGCGCCATTCCACGGGCAGATGCAATTTTAAAGTGTGACATGTTTGCTATTTACTTGGTGTAAAATCATCTTATATATTCTACAAAACATTTGGTTATATTGTGTCTTGCTATGCTATGCATTAAAATGTATTTTCTTCCCAAAAACGGGCATTTGAAAAATCACTGCGCAAATACCATGTCATAAAAATATGCAACACCCACCAATTTATTCTCTAGAGTTTCTGCTTAACAAAAAAAAAAAAATGTTTGGGGGAAACAGTACGATATGCTGAGCTGTGTGTCATAAAAATATACAACACACAATTTATTCTCTAGGGCCTCTGCTTTAAAAAAAAAATAAAAAATTAATTAATATATATATATATATATATATATATATATATATATATATATATATATATAATGTTTGGGGGAAAAAGTACGATGTGCTGAGCTAAGTGTATCATCACAGAGTTGATCTTGACCGCACTACACACCATCGGTTGTGCTGCAATGCAGCAGCTGGTGTGAAGGAGAACTTAGGCTACATTCAGAGATTCCTGCTGCAGTTCTAAGCAGCTAGGTGCAGCAGCTGGCCCTGTTCACTAAAATGACAAGTTGCCGATGTATTCGCTCTCTGCACAGCCAGTGATTACCTGCAGTGATCGTTTCTGGTTAAACTATGTGTACATCTAGCAGTGATCACTGCAGGTGAACTCACAGGCTGTGCAGAAAGTTGTGAATAGCTGCGGCTGCCAACAACCTGTCATAGTGAACAGGGCCAGAAGCCGCACCTAGCTGCTGAGAGCTGCAGCAGGAATCACTGTATCTTGCTGCTATAATTTGAACCAGGTCTAATCGCAGATGTGGATGTAGCCTAATATACATTATACAATTTTCTTACAATTTTCTGTCCAGTTTCCTTTAGATTTACCAAAAACCATATAATAGGAGGTCAAACCTAACAGCACTTTCAATTGAATCCAGTTAGGCAGGCCCTTGCACTACATAGTTGAAGGTAAATCTAAAGGAAATTGGGCAGAAAATTGTAAGAAAATTGTATAGTGTATGGCCAGCCTTAGGCTCAGTTCTCACTGCGACGAATTGGGATCCGACTTGTGAGACCCCAAGTTGCATGACATGTGACATTCTATGTTAGTCAATGAGAGCTGTCTTAAATTTTTACTAAACCTACAACAGTAAAATAAGTCTGTATATGCAGTAAAGCATACTCACTGTGGAACCTAAGGGGTTAATGCTCTGCATTGTGTAAAAAAGGCTGTTTGATCCTGTCTTCTCAGATCCTCCCCTTCTACTGTCCCCAATCCATCTGGTGATAGCACAGAACTCTAGGAGGCACTCTGCACATGCTCAGTTTAGTGCGCATTGCTAGAGAGCTTGTTTTGTTTTTTCCTTTGGGAGGGTGCATGTGATCAGCACAGGGCCAATCAGCACTGTCCAGACAAAAGGTCAAGGGTCTGGCAGCCTAATAGTACAGTCAGAACAGAATAAAAACTCATTCTACAAGCTTTAACCAGTGCTCAGCTGGACACTGATAGATGTCACAAGACTGCTATATATTGCTGATGGGAAAAGGTATTTAGCAGTTTATATTAAGGCTCCATGCACATTAGCGTTTTTTTTTTAAGTTAAAAAACCACTGGTAACAGCGTTTTTTAGTAGCGTTCAGGAGTGTTAGCATTTTAGTAGCGTTTTTACAGTACATGGTGGAAAAAAAAAAGCTGTTAGTATTTGAGTATTTTAGTAGCATTTACTGTTTTTTCTGCTGGAAAACCGCTCAAAAACACTCTACAAAAATATTTTTTTTTCTGCCCTTAAGATGCTGAAGCTCAAAAAATGCTAATAGCCTAAAATAGTGTGCATGAACACATAGGATAAAACTATTTAGCTTCTAGGAGCAGAAATAAATATGCTAACAGCTGAAAAAAAAACTCTAGTGTGTATGGAACCTTACTTTAAAGCGGAGTTCCACCCAAAAGGGGAAGGTCTGCTTTAAGGACTGTTCCCCCACTACCCATTAAGGATTGGCATCTTTGGGGAGCGGGGGGAGCAGCGGGTACCAGAATTGACAGGTACCCGCTCCCACTTCCGGTCCGATCAGAAACAGACGGCGTCCTCCGTCCCTCCCTAAAGTCTTTTGGGACACGTGACAGGTCCCAGAAGACTACAGGACCATTCATGAAGTGCAGCGCTACTCGCGCAGGCGCAGTGGGTACCCGGCTGTGAAGCCGCAAGCTATCACAGCCGAGTGCCCGCACCGAAGATGCCGGCCTCCTGGAATCCAGGACAGCCGGAGAAACGGGCTGCAGGGGACACACCACGGGACAGGTAAGTGGCTGTTTTTTTTTTTTTAAAAGTCAGCAGCTACAGTTTTTGTAGCTGCTGACTTATTTATTGACAGGTGAGTGGAACTTCGTTTTAATAAATGCATTTCCATGCTCTGTGTACTGTGACAGACCATTTATAGTGAATGCAGGGTCCTGGGTTTACAGTCCACTCACACTTGTGTGACTTGCCATGTGACTTTGGGGTCAACCCATGTTTCCCAATGAGTACCATTCAAATTTGTTTGACTTCACGTTGTAAAGACCTGCAGTACTTTGGTACAATTTTTGATGTGATTTTAGTCCAGTGAATGTAAAGTCAGATCAAAGTCACACCACAAGTTGCACTGGAAATTGCGCTAATGTGAATGGAGCCTTAGTAACACTTTAAGGTTTGGTTCACACTGCCGTGACGTGGGATCCGACTTGTGAGACCCCAAATCGCATGACATATAGAATCCCATGTTAGTCAATGAGAGCCATCCTAATTAGCACTACTGAATTTGCTCCAACTTTAGAAAAGGTTCCTGTACAACTTCAAGGCAACTTCTATCCAACTTGTGCCCATAGACTTTAATAGAAGTCGCCTCCAAGTCAGATCCTCATCTATATTGATGTGATTTGGATCTGGCATTACAGGAAGATTACCTAGGCATTCCCTGAAAGTTGCTCCAGAGTAATAGTCAAGTTGCCTGGCAAAGTCGCACGACTTTGAGGTAGCAGTAGTGTGTGAACCGAGTCTAATTAGCACTACTGAAGTCGCTCCGACTTTAGAAAAGGTTCCTGTACTACTTCAAGGAGACTTATATATGACTTGTGACCATAGACTTTAATAGAAGTCTCCTCCAAGTCGGATCCTCATCTATATAGATGTGATTTGGATCCGACATTACAGGAAGATTACCCAGGCAAAGTCACATGACATGAAAGTCGCGTATCAAGTCGCATTAAAGTTGTACTCAATTAGCATCAAGTGGCCAGGAAGTGGGAACTTTCAGGTGGCAGTGGTGAGAACCAAGCCTTCGTGTCTCTGGGGGTGCCATTGCTGTGAGCTCTCCCCAGTAGAGGTGTGTACAGGGTGCATGTGTATTAGTAGTCCCCGGCTCACTCACCCGCCTTCTGGCCCAGGAAGCTCATGCTGTGATACGCCTTCTCTGCAGCGGCCAGATGTGCCAGGGCTGCCAGCATGGAAGACCAGGAAGCGCCGGCCGTCTTGTTGGCTTCCTTCTCCTTCTCCACATTGTCCTTGGCCTTGTCATAGGAGAAGTGCCCGAGGTGGCTGAAGAAGGTCTGCAGGACATTGTGTTCCACAGTCACCGCCGGGCTCAACAGAGGGATCATCACCGCGGTTGTCATCAGTAACAGCGACTCTGCGTCATCCTCGACCTCCAGCTCCGTGATCGCCGGAACATCACCTTCTTCCTGGGGCACCACCATACAGGGAGCAGTGCAGGACACCAGGAGGCCGCACTCCCGGGGTCGGAAGAACACACGGCGGACTGTTTACACGGCACACGTGACTAGGCAGGAAGTGGGTATCACGGCCTTGCTTTTTTTTTTTTTTTAAACGAGCATTATAGATCAGAGCGCGTGCACAGAGCAGAGGAAGTTCTGGTAATGACACGTCTCAGGTGAACAAGGAAAGATGTCTGGATTTCAGAGACGGCTTGTCACACATTTCTCTGCTTATTACAGCCTCAGAGACGGCAGACCGGGTGCCTAGGCGTGGGAGCGGATGTGCCCCCACCCTTTTTATAGATTCGTATAGGGAATTGCAGTATTGTCTGAACTGGGTACCTCCCAACTTTAACCACTTGTCCTCCAGAAAATCCCCCCCCCCCCTTCCTGACCAGACCATTTTTTGCGCTACAGTGCTGCGTTACATTACCTAACAATTGCGCGGTCATGCAACGCTGTACCTAAATTAAACGTCATTTTTTTCCCCACGAATTGAGCTTTCCTTTGGTGCGTTCTTAACCACTGAAACTACTAAGCAACGTATTCACTCCATTGTCATTTTTTTCCCCACGAATTGAGCTTTCCTTTGGTGCGTTCTTAACCACTGAAACTACTAAGCAACGTATTCACTCCATTGTTATCTCTCACCTTGACTATTGTAACTCCCTCCTCATTGGCCTACCTCATCGCAGGCTATCCCCTCTTCAGTCTGTCATGAATGCTGCTGCCAGACTCATCCACCTTACTAACCGTTCTGTATCTGCCACCCCTCTCTGCCAATCCCTCCACTGGCTCCCAGTTGCCCAACGAATAAATTTCAAAACATTAACAATCACATATAAAGCCATTTATAACTCTGCCCCAAATTACATCACCAATCTTATGTCCAAATATCATCCAAACCGTCCTCTCCACTCCTTGCAAGACCTCCTGCTCTCTAGCTCCCTTGTCTCCTCCTCCCATGCTTGTCTCCAGGACTTTTCCAGAGCCTCCCCCATCCTCTGGAACTCTCTACCCCAATCTATCAGACTATTGCCTACTCTGCCCACTTCTAGGTGATCTCTGAGAACCTATCTCTTCAGGGAAGCATGTCCTGCCTTCAGCTAATAGCAGAATCTTCTATTCCTTCTACTAGTCCATCCCCTACAGTTATTACCTTTTGTATGACCAGCCCTTCCCTCTTAGATTGTAAGCTCCAAGGAGCAGGGCCCTCCTATCCCTCTTGTATTGAACTGTATTGTTGCTGTATTGTCTCCCTTTATATTGTAAAGCGCTGAGCAAACGGCGCTATATAAATCTTGTATAATAATAATATTTGATCACCTGTACGGTTTTTCTTTTTTGTGCTATAAACAAAAAAACAAAACAATAATTTAGAAAAAAAACTATGTTTGACTTTTTGCTATTAAACATCTAAACAAAAAATTTAAAAAGCAAATTTCATCATAAATTTAGGCCAAAATGCTTCTGCTACGGGTCTTTAAAAAAAAAAATAAATCCCAATACGTGTAAATTAATTGGTTTACGTGAAAGTTATAGCTTCCACAAATGGTGGTATAGATACTGGGATTTTTTTTTAAATATACTAGTAATGGCGGCGATCAGCGACTTATAGTGGGACTGTGATGGGCATTCTGATGCTGGGAGGAACTGACTTGGTGTCACTGACATCCCCAGTGACACCAATACAGTGATCAGAGCTAATAAAAAGCACTGACACTGTACTAGTGAACTGGGCAGGAAGGGGTTAACATCTGGGGTGATCAAAGGGTTAACTGTTTGCTGCATGTGTTTTAAATTGTATGCTGTGTGTGTTTTACTTTGAAGACATGCTGCTTTGTACCTCTCTGCTGTGCAGAGAAATATAAAGTAGCATGTCCAGGCTGACAGGAGAGAGATCTGTGTTGTTTACACACCGGTCTCTCCCCTGTCAGCTCTGCTGACGATCATCAAGTGCCAGCCGGGACCCAGTGATTGACATCCCCAGCCAACGATAGTGGCGCGGGTAGGGCGGCCCCTACCTGGAAATGCAAATCATGTGTGTGTGTGTATATATATGTGATTTTGCGCTTCCCTGCCACCCTGTAGCAGTACTTCTGCTATAGTGCGGAGGGCAAGTGGTTAAACTGGTACTGACCACTTCAGTACTGGGCACTTTTAACCCCATTGCTGCCCAGGCCAATTTTCAGCTCTCAGCACTTTGAATGCCTGTTGCAGGTCATATAACACTGTACCCAAACTAAATTTGTATCATTTTGTTCACACAACTAGAACTTTCATTTGCTGTTATTTGATCACCACCAAGGTTTTTAATTTTTTTGCTAAATAAATGAGAAAAAGACCAAAAAGTAAAACAAAAACCCAAGTTTTTCTTTATTTCTGTTACAAAATTTTGCAAATAAATCATTTTTCTTCATAAATTTAGGATAAAATGTATTCTGCTACATTTATTTGGCGAAAATAACCCAAATCAGTGTATATTATTTAGTCTGTAGGAAAGTTATAGAATTCACAAACTATGAGATATATCTGAAAATCGATCAATCCTGCTGTACTGACGGCCAATCTCATTTCTTGAGGCCCAAAAATGTCAGGACAGTACAGATATCCCCAAAATGACCCATTTTTGGAAAGTAGACAGTCTTAGGTATTTAGTAAGAGGCATGGCGAGGCGAGTTTTTTGAAGTTGTAATTTTTTTGTCATTTTTTGCAAATGAAGAAATTAAAAAAAAAAATTCACAATTTTTTTTTGTACATACTGTCACCAGTGCAGTACAGCATCATCATATCACTGGTGTGACGCTAATCAGTGACAGTAATTAATTTTATACAATTTTTATTACATTTATATTCTTTTTTATAATACACTGTGACCAGAGTAATATAATGTTACCACAGTAACCGTGTACTACTCAAGGGAAGTATTTTTTTTTACAGATTATGATTGCTTATAGCAATCAATTTAATTGCTATAAACAAGCGTTTTACTGAATGAAATCGATTCAATTTGTTTTGTTGTGATTAGCTGTGTTTGGCCACAGCTAATCACATGACATAGATGGGCTGTGATTGGCCCAGTCTATACCTTGTGATCACTCTCACCAATCACAGCCAGCAACACAATTGTATGCAATGGATGCCATGAAAGGAAGCCATCCATTGTTTACAATTGTCATGTGACCTGCTGTGATTGGTCACAGCAGTCACATGGTACTGGCAACAGGCTGATACACAGATCAGTCATCAGCTGTGTCTGATGGACACAGCCAGTGACATTTCTCACGGCAGCATGGTCCCGCGGGCATGTACGCGAGGCAGCAATCTGGGAGGATATCATATGATGTCCACCCAGATCAACAAAAGTCCAGCTGTCATTTTACTATACGTCTGGCGGGAACTGGTTGAACCCAAAACCAAAAAGTGTAATTTATTGGAGCTTACCAATCATTAGATGTGGTGGCTGCATTAGTTTACTAGGCTTTTTTTTTTTCTCCTCTGTTTTCGCCTGGTGATCTGGCTAGTAACACACCTTCTGTATTAGAGTGCCCCATCTGGGAGGAAGGAGTGTTAGGCTGGCCATACATTATGCAATTTTGTTTCCTTCAACGAAAATCTTCCAATCCCCCATCAACACAGTCATTGTTTATGGGGGAATCCCTTCCATTGCGCTATTGTATTTTGAGGAGCAGAAGATTCTATTCTATTTCTATAGAAATGGATGCACACACAGCAGCTGCAAAGACACAATCACATGTGAAAATTTGACATGCAGGTGCACAGATCCAAACACACGGGGTTATTTACTAAACCTGGAGCATGCAAAATCTGTTGCAGCTCTGCATAGTAACCAGATTCCAGGTTTTATTCTCAAAGATTAAAAATAAACCTACAATGGTGCCACACAAACGAATAGTACGAATATCCACAATAAATCAAAAAGTCCAAAATTGCAACAGTTTCTTTGGTGCTCTTTTTTGCTCATATATAGGTTCTTTAAAGTGAATCACCCATTCATGCTTGTGCCTTTAAATACTGTGTGACCATCACCAGACGTGATCTCACCTGGAGCCTCTGACCTTACATTTATGTAGGGTCATACAGTGTTTGCGTCCCCCAATGTGGACAATGTTGTTTCTTCTCAATAGATGGACTCTTCACTGTTCCTTGATCCTGCAATGTGATAACATCTCACAAACTCACTCCAATATGCTCTGCCGTTATTATCCTCAGCATGAAACAGCATTCACCCAATATCAGAATAACAATGTAAAGATATCAGACCACCACTTTCTCAGTGAGTGAAAGATCAGTTCGGAGGATGGGTCTGATCACCCATCTGAATGAGCCCTTAATTACAGTAAATATTGTCATACATCACACATAAACCTCAACACAGGTTTTTCTAAACTTAAACTTTCATTATATATGCCTTTCTGTACACAGAATATAGCTAACGCTTTGTTTGAGCCTTCCTCAAAGGAGAAATTCATTAAAATACATGGGGACTACACAGTAACTAGCAAGACAAACACTGGTGAAGAGCATGTAATATAAAGCTCAGCTTAGAGAGTGCAGCATAAAACCCACTGGGGTACAGTTTCCAATTCTGTTGCACAGGAAGGCAATGGTAAAACGAGCGGTGAGAGATATTGTGCAACAGATTTACTGCAAGTTTGAGCCATAATTCCTCCCTCAACTGCTATAAATTCCCAGTTAGACATTCTCCAGGACATCTACCTCTAAGTTTATTGGTTCCAACACAAGCAGGAAACAAGAGGATAATTTAAAAATACCTTTTCACCCCTATCAACCCACAGTGAGTTTGAAGTAGACTAGCATCACTAGTGTTGAAAGGGAACAGAAAATTAATTCCACCTCAACAA